CTTATGCAATTAAAACTGTTTGGCTTTATTTTTTTTTACTAAAATGATTAAGTTCTTGCACCTTTTTTAACTTTTTGTCGTATTCTTACGGCTTTGTACGTCTAAAAATTAAGCACACTTTTTTTTTGCTCAGTAGACTTTAAATTATCATTTCGAACTTCAGACTGCATCTATTGCCAATTTTGTTTACGTCACCAACTCCTTCATTCAAGCACCAGTATTATTGGCAACCAGCAGGGCAGTTCAGACGGCGCTGCTCGACGTACTCGGCCGATCGAGTACTACTAAGGTTCAGAGTGTAAAGCGGACGACAACGGATACCGCAAAATTTTGATACTGACCATTGCAATAATGCAATTTGTTGCGTTTCCAACAATCATATAAATCGTCCTGATAGTTCCACAAGTAATAAATGTATTATCACAGAAGCAGAAAGCAGAAAGTTCTATTTATATTGCAAATAAATGTGGGGAAATCAATAATTTGCTGTAAACTTACAGTAACATATTAACTTAAAATGACGATATAAAAATTTAGACTAATTAAGAAACACCCAAAAACTGCTGTTAAAGTATATAGCTTTTCAGAATTCCTAGAACAAATGACTGCAGCGCTTTGCTAAAGAAACCTAAACGCTTTATAACGGCTTTGATTTTTTTATCGCTTTATTGAACAGTAACGAAGCGTAGAGACAACCCAGAAAAGTTGTGTCGCTAAATAGAAGCGAGATGGTCAAAAGTGCAAAACAGGACCAAAGCAAAAGGTTTTGGCGAAACATAAACAAGCCGACTCTAAGCTGTAACGTAAGGAAAAGCCGCAAGAAAAGAGGGAATGGTCCGAAGATGAATCAGCGAATTACCTCTGTAAGTTGCACTGAAAACAACTTACTCGAACAGGATGGCACGATTGGAACCACATCTCGAGCCTCGAGTTACAGAATTTCATAAACCATTCTATTTATAATTGAGAAGACTAAGATGTGGACTATTTTCATATAAAACAATAAAAACTGTACATTAGGAAGCTAAAACTGTAAACGAGTTCACTCTCTCTCTCTCGCCAACTCTCTAAATACTTTCTTTTACGATCTTCCGCTTGGTTACTTCGAAACCAAGACTTAGTAAATCTTAGTGTTACTGTTCTGCTTCTTTCCACTCTGCCAAAATAACTCGTGAACTTGATAAATTTTTTATAGGAAATCTCGGTATTTTTACTACTTACAAAATATCGCAAGCGTGGCAGGTGTTACTTTTCTTATACTATAAATCTAAAGCTTTACGAGTTCTGCAACAAATTGTAAATTTGCATTTTTAGTCAAAAACTGAAGTAAAATTTTAGAAACATAGTTAACGGCGCAAGCCTCGACAACTACTTTTGCAACCGTTTCACAAAAGTGTGTTTTGGTGCAAACTCACTAAAACATTTCAGTGACGGTCTATAAAATTACTGAATCACTGCGCCATCTAGAATTACTCCTCCTGTTTCTTGCATTTTACTTCTCTAGCATTTATTGGAGAGTGTAACTGGCCGTGGTTATTGCTAAAAAAAGCCATAATTAAGCAGTTTTTTAAACGGACTCAAAATAGCTTTTTCTTGGTGCAGAGAAGAAGTGTTCCACTAAAGAATTTGAGTTGCTCAGCTCAAGTAAAAATCCGTTCAATTACACAAATAACAAACCCATTTTAGGCGAAGTTGTCGATTCATACTACAACTTTGTTTTTAAATCTATAAAAAAATTTAACTTTAAGACTGAAAGAAGTAAACTTTAGCTCTTATAAGTTTTGCTGCCACCAATTTTATAACAGACTCGCTAGCTTCTCCTGCGACGCCAAAGAAAGTTGCTGGGAACTGCTGTATAACGCATAGTGTGCCTGCTACCACTCCCAAAACGTAATCAAAATTAAGGCGAAGTTGACTTTTTTGTTTGTTTTGTATGGTTTGTTGTACCGTTTGGTCGTTTGTCGATCGGGGAATTGCAAGTTTGAAACAAAGCGACTGAACCTGAAACTGCTGGCTTGCTTTCTTTCAGTCTTTTCTTCCATGTTGATGTCGATAGGATACAATTGATTGACTGGTTGCTCTCAGGTGTGAGCATTTCGCAGTCATAATTCGACTGCTCTGATGAGAGTATCTTGACTTTTTACAAGTTTGATTGTTCTCGTCACTTTCCAAGCGCATGTAGGTAATGTAGGTAACCTTCTTCAGCGATTAGGACAATCTCTTCTATCACTGATTGTCTGGAGATGCATAGCCACGGCGATTTGTGCTCCATGTTGTTTCGCTCACTGCAGTTCAGTAAGTAATATTGTGTGTAAAATCTCAGAGAACGACTTGAATATTGCTGTTTTTCTCATTCAGTCTATTCGATCAGTACCCTTCATCATTCATCTTCGTTTTGAAACTCGCCAGGTTTATCTCTGCGTGCGACAGCAAAAAGTCAGTGGGTTAAACCGTCCTCGCCCACATAGGTTAACGTACAGTTGTTCCGGAATGTTTCAATTCCAGTTTCAATCGTTTGGAAAGTTTCATCTTTACTCCATTCCACTTGATCACTTTTTGGCTTAAAAATCCTTACAGGACTTCTGTGCGTGCGAGCAGTAGGGATTAAGCAAGTCGACGTAAAATACATGAGGTTTGACTTATGACGTGCAAGCATAGCTTCGTATTCAGTAGCTGAGCCCCCATGTAACGGGAAACGCCTGAGGCTTTGATGACTGGCATTCAAACAAGAGTACTAATAGTTGCAGTTATAAACCTTTTCTGAATCAGAATTCACCTTGCTACTGTTTAACTTATCTTTTAAAAATGAAGTAAAGTATACAGCCGCTAGTAGAAAATCATAGTTAATTATATTCTTCTGTAAGAGATATTTAAATTATAAGCCCAAACAATTTAATAGCGCTATCGCGACAGCCAGATAAAAGACGATCCAAAATTATCTAATTTCTTTATCTCTGTGTTAAAAAAATGTTTATAAACAACGCTTGTACTTCGCCTTCTCTAATAATGTTAAAATAGCATGCTTTTTTACAATGTAATATCTTTGTTTCGTATCGATCGATGCCAGATTTTGTAAATCGGCATCATGGCGCCAATCGTTGTTGTAGCTTTTCTTCGTTTCGCTTCTTCATGTTCAGTGGAATAAATTGGACAACTACTGCGCGCTGGTTGTAAGCTTTAATTGGAGAATATTCTTTACCAGTTCTACTCTCAAAGAATAAATCGTAAGTTTTTCCTACATGGTGCGTCGGCCAAATGTCGGATCCAATGTCACTTGTTCACAATTCTTGTGCTTCTACCGTCCTTGCTTAATGTCACGTTCTTTTCCCTCAGACTCTTCTTTATCTTAAACAAGCAACTAAGCTTCTCAACTCTGCTGCAGACTCTCCCACTGCACAGACCCAGGACAGCACTCACTCCCAACAACTTTCTGACTAAATTCAACTTTTGACGCGGAAACTGGCTACTTCAACACGACTGCACAACCAGTGGCTATCAATATTTGATACTCTTTCTCCCGAAGAAGCTGCATACGAAAAGGATCTATATTCCCAGATGACTACTGATTTTAATGATCTTTTTCAAACTATTACCAAAATATGAGACACAATGCCACCATTAGAGCTTCGCTTGTCTAATCTTTCGACAAATGCTGCAAATTGTTCGCCCCTGCAACCTTCTGTTTTTTCTGCGCCTACTTCTATTCGGAACCAGCGACATGATTCCTTTCCCATGCCTGAATTCCACTAATCAAATTCAGTGGCAACCCCAAAAAATGACCCTCCTTTTGGGATTGGTTCCAAGATGCCATTGATGCACAACAGAGGCGCGACTCACAGGAAATCACATTTAAAAAGCTGCCTTACAGTTACTGCTCATCAAACCATATCCGTATTTGCACTTGCAAATAAAGACTATCGACTCGTCCTTCAGGCACTGAAAGACAAATATGCTAGTCCAACTGTTATGATTTCTTCGCTGTATGTGAGGTCGAATGTTTGCCACATGTCTACGAGCAAAAGTTTTGATCCTTTCTGAAAAACCTTCAGCGCCTTCTGCAACTGCTCAAACACCACGGAGAAAATATTAATGCCATTCTTATCTAAAGGACCATCAAGAGGAAATTACCAAAAACAATTCTTTAGCAGTTAGAGCAATAAAAAGTTCAAAATCCTGCTTGGACTGTTGAAAGCCTTGTTCAACAACTCTCTCTATTGCTCATTCAAAATGAAAACATTCACCGTGCCTTAAACCCCTCTGTCCAGCAGCAGCCTCACAATATTCATCATGTAACCGCCGCGCGCAACCGTTCGTCAGCATTTTCTGCAACTGTATCGTCTGTACCTGCATGTATCAAGCGTTTTACAGCTCGTAAGACACAGAAAATCAGCCCAAAACGGCCACAGCTGCAACCTAATACATTATGTATTTTCTGCAACGAAATGCATTGGACGATACAATGCCAAAAATATCCCACACCACAACAGAGGCGTGCACTCGCCAAATCAAAGAACCTCTGTTTCAAATGTCTGAAAATTGGATACGAACTTTGCGATTATCCTCGCAAACCCTACTGCTACTATTGTAAAGGTAACCACCATCCGTAACTCTGTTTGACACCAAAACGTTCAAATCCTCCAATAGTCAAACGACAGACTGCCACGCCTGCCATCGTCGAGCAACTCGAAATTTTAGATGAAGACAAACAACGGGTGAGTCTCTTTAATTCAGCAGTTACAAAAGTCTCTTCCTCAAACCTCCACGTTGATCACAGCGTGCTGTTACTACCGTGTCAACGCATTACAATTTTCAATCCGTTAAAACCGACTTGCGTACAGAAGCTTTAGTCTTTTACAATAGCAGTAGTCAGATTTCATTTCTATCAAATAATCTGCAAAGCCAACTTTGTCTGCTACCTCGACATACAGCTCCCATAACACTTAACAGAATTGCTGGCACAAAAAACAAACGGAACTGCACCACCGTTCAGTTTGGTCTGAAATTAAAGGGTAGGAGTACACATCTTATCAAGGCCTTTACGCTATCTCCGGTTACAGGATCCTTCTTACACGCTGAATTAACGAAAGAGGAGCTAGCGACCTTATGGGACAATCCATGTCAGAGGTTACTTCTTCCACTCTATAATACTGAACAATCTGTCCTCATTACGGCTAAATTCTGCTGAATAACGAACTTAGAAAAGGTGAAGGATCTTTCGTGTAGTTTCCATCTCATCGACTTACATGCTGGCTCTATGCTAGATGGCGAAGGTACGGTCAACGCAAAATGTTCAAGTCACAATCCTTTTGTTACACATACCGTTCTCACCTGCCCGGCACCGTTCGACATCATACGGTTCTGGAAATTGGTAATTATTGGCATCCAACCGGAACAAGAAAAACTTTTTCGGTTCTACTGAGTGATAAGCTGTCCCATGAGTTTAGGTTCTGATAAGTTACAACTTGGAGCTATTCTCAATAGCTGTGGGATTTTGACGACATAGTCCGCCTTCAAACAATTTATGATAACTTCTTTTTGACTTACGTAAGAGGCGTATTTTCCCGATGGCGCGTATTGGCATTGTTTAGCGTATGCGCTCCAGTCCCATATCATTGTCTCGTGGCATGTTAAACATTTTTGAGCCTTAGGATTGCGCCCTGCCGTACGAGTGAAATACGTGACGGGATGTGAGCCATCAAAAAACAAAATCTCGCCATATTCCATTAGGTAACTGATAG